TCCCCCTTTTTTCTTCCTTTCAGCTCTACATCCCTCGCGTTTTGATACGCGAGAAGGCCAATGCTACAGGTCCAACTGAAGTGAATATGTGCGATTGATGAAATGATTACATCGCGGTCCGAGATAATCTGCCGTATGAGTTGGTCTGGTCCAACTCCTGGCCAATGACTTACAAAACAAAGAAACCCAATCCAATAGTGTTCCCTATGCCTATTCAAGCTGTCCATCTCCCATTACTAAAATTCCATCCCATCCACCCATATTGACTTGTTCCACTCTCTACGCCTTGTTACGACGAGTGATGGTGCAGGGAATGTCACTGTGGTACATGAACCAAGAGTTGTGGTACTTCCACTCATGGTCCGGGTCAGTGAGTTTAATCTGCAAATTCCCGGTCAGCACATCCCTCCCTCCTCCAACACCGCCCAGGAAAACTCACATCATACGCAGCGAACAGCGTCGCGAAGAGCTTGTACATCTCCACCTTGGCGAGGTGCTTCCCCATGCACACCCGCGTCCCGTGCCCGTACATGAAGTCGGTCGCCTCGTGCATGCGGCGCACCCTCCGCGCGTGCGCACCCTCGTCCTCGCCCTCGCCCCGCAGCCAGCGCTCCGGGCGGAAGGTGTCGGCGTCGTCGCCGAAGAGCCCGCGGTCGCGCGTGACGACGCACGGGTTGATGCCGATCTTGGTGCGGGCGGGGACGAAGCGGCCGTCGGGGAGCTCGAGGCCGGAGGGGGGCACCTCGCGCTCGAGCATGAGGCCCAGGGCGGGCGCGATGCGGAAGGACTCGCGCATGACGGCGTCGAAGTAGGGGAGGCGGGTGACGTCGGCCCAGCGCGCGGGGAGCTCGAGGTCCGCGGCGTCGAGCTCGGCGGCGAGGCGGGCGTGGACTATCGGGTTCTTGAGGACGTGGTAGGCGACGGAGCGCATGGCGCCCGAGGTGGAGTCGCCGCCGGCGAGGACGTTTAGCATGAGCCAGTTGGTGACCTGGGCGTCGTCGACGAAGTCGTACTGGGCCTTGAGGCCGCTGTACCGGTCGATGAAGAGGTCGACGGGCTTGCGGCGGGCGGCGCCCTGCTGCCGGTACTCGGCGAGGATGCGGACGGTGTGGAGGAAGCCGTTGACGAGGGGCCGGGGCCCGACGCGCCAGACCGGGTTCTTGTCGAGCAGCTCGTCGAGGAGGGGCGCCTGGCTGACGGGGGCGAAGTACCGGAGCCCCGCGGTGCTCTCGGCGATGATGCCGCCGACGTCCCTGCCCTCGTCCATGAAGCCGTAGTGGCGGCCGAAGCTGACGTTGGCGGCCGCGTCCCAGGCGTAGTAGGAGATCCAGTCCTCGAGCATGCAGACGTCGGAGGTCGAGGCGAAGCGCCTGTCGACGTTGGCGAGGAGCTCGGAGAGGGTCTCGTCCATGACGGGCTCGAGCTCGAGGATCTTGCTCATGGTCCAGAAGCCGCCGATGGGCCGGGTGTACTTGGAGTGGAAGTGGGCGTCCTGGGTGTTGAAGACGTTCTGGATGCGCTGGCCGTTGACGACGACGTCGTTGGGGCGGTACATGTCGCTCTGTCTTTCAGCTTAGATACTCTTCTTCTTTCGAGCCATCATATGTCTTGGGGAGTGTGTGTGTTCTCTTGCGGATATCACAGAACGCTTACACCGTCGATGACTTCATATTTGACCATCGCATCAAATTGGGACAGCCATTGAGGAGTTTGCGCACGAGATACGGCATTGGGCAAGGGGTATTGATGACCAACGGGTTCTACGGATACTACATACCTTGCGCCATGGGTTCTTGGTGGTGTAGATGACCTTGATCATGTCTGGATCACTGATGCTGATCGCGTTGGGGCCGACACGCACTGCGGGACCCCATTTCTGGTGCCATCTGCGCTTATGAATGTCGACATGGCCCATGTGAGTGAGGCCGGATCGATACAAGTCGGTGAACTTGGCGAGGAATGGGCCGGGAATGTGGCTCAGAGGAGAAAAGAAGAGCTCGTAGACAACTTTGGCTGCGCCCACGGCTACAATGCCATAGAGTACATAGACTGGGGGGATGGCTGAGAGGGCCATTGTCGGTGCAATTTCACAGACGAGCGGATGCCAATATGTTGCATGCGTCTCTCTGACCAGTTGGCGACGATTTTTGGAAGAAGAAAGGACACTGGGAAAAAAAGGAAAGAGAGAGAAGGGGAGTTACATGTAGCGGGAGGTTTGCGACTCTCGTACGAAACTAGAGATGAGCTGCTGGGGAAGAGAGATCTATATCCAGACGTGATGCACACTCGAGGAGCGCCTTACGAATCCAGAAGCGGAACTTGCCTGCATTATTCCTGGTCAAATGAACAAGAAAGAGGGGACTACGAGCACTATTTCGAGATTAGAAGGCGATGGAGGTCCCAGCAGCATCAACCGGACCCGCCGTAATGCATTGTAGTTGGTCCTCGGTCCGGATATAGGAAGGTGGGCGTTCCATCCTTCAGCCATAGTTTCATCAAGCTCAGTCATGAGATGGAGGGGAGGAGGCCAGAGGATATACATATCAGCAGGGGAGAGGCCAAGGGTTCATCGATCGTTTCCAGAGTAGCCTTTGATACCATGCAGGAGGTTGTATTGTAGGCTAGTACCAGGGAATAGTTCGTGTGGGAGGTGGTATATCACGCGGATAAAGCAAGAACTAGCAAGGGAAAAGGTATGGGAGTCGCGCAAGGGTTCTCTAGGAGGCAGGGGGAAGAGAGAGAACAGTGTGCGAGGAGCAACGAAGAGGATGAGAACCCTACCTGGATTGCGTAATTAAGGCGCTGGTATTGGTGGGCTGGAAGTTCTGCTCTGGTTCGAAGGCTGTGGTTGCTATGTAGGTATAACCAGGAGCCCGGACCAACGAGTAATGAGCGCTTTTCTTCCGTGTGTGTCCGTGCCCGGGCCACGACTTAGCCTCCCCGAGTGGCCGTGGCTTGCTGAGACGCTTTAATCTTGTGTTTAGGGCCGGGAGAGGTCGACACCCGAAGACTGGCGGCGGCGATCCGGGGCAGACGTTTCGACTCCGCTGTGCGCCCAGCGACTTCCGGCCGCCAAGGGTGTGTCTACCTACCTCTAGGTGCTTATTGGTATGCTTGTTCTTGTTGAGGAGCCTTAGTGTGTACCTCTGGAGCGAGTCGTGGTGCTATGACAGTTCCATTGTGTGTGAGGTAGAGCGAAGTGTAATAGAACGGTTATCCACACCAAGGCGCTTCGGGTAGGTCTCAAGACCGGCCTGGCGCCCAGAGGAGCCCGGTTCAGTACCTACATTGTTCAGCTCGCCCACACCAACTGCAGGTCGAGTGGGTGGTCACCAAGAAGATGAATGAATCTTCACAATGCCTTTGTACGGATCAGTACTAGCACTGGGACTCGGCTACAGTGGCGGTTGGGGGATAAATCAATCTGCCAGGCGATGGCCTTAGGGGCGCTTTAGCCTTTTCGCTGGGGCCTGGCTGCCGCCTCCCCGCCTGTAGCCGCAGCGGGCCCCCTGTAGCACCCCCCTGTAGCAGCCCACGTCCAATGCCACCCTCTTCCGACGTCTGTCCTCATTCGTGTGAGAAAAGCGATTGATCGATTCCTCATGCACCAACATTCAATTGTTGGAGGGAACCGCGCCTCTAGCTCTAGTGCTGGATCGTCTTAGCGCTCTTCTCTCCCTAGCTCATTATGCGAGGCGTTTTGGACAATAGTTAATTGGGCGTCTCTCAGCTCTGGTTTCGTTCGCCGACCAACACAGCAACATGCAGTTCGCCAGCCACATGCGCGTGCCAGTTTGCATCTCTTTCAATAGCGATCCATCGTGGCCCAAGCATTATTGCAGACACGCGCCCTGCATTCTTATCTGCGCAGTGCCACTCCCTCGCCTCCACGGGGTAGAGAGTATGGGGGGAAGAGATGCGATGCGATGCGACGCGACGCAAGTGATCTGTCTCATGCAGCCCAGACTCGGCACCGCATCGACATGGAGGAAACTTGTGCAAGCGAGCTTGTGATGAAACGACAGGAAAAAGCAAAAAGAGGCCCATTGACACCCACTCGTGTCATGCAAGAAGCCCCCCATGCGGAGAATTTAACCTCTTCTGGGTGCCTTCTTTTCTCCCAGTGGTTTTCTTTCTTTCTTCGAGGGTAAACTACCACCCACCATGATTATTCAACAAGCTGCTGGGGCGATTGTTCTTCCAAATGCGTAGATGGTTGCGATATCCCTTGACTGGGCGAGGCGAGATCACCGTGCAAGTAAACACTAAACTAAACCCCAGACGTTTGATTTGAGGCCAGGGGGAAGAGGGTTGAACCAACGGAAGCAAGGACTTCAGCTGGGCCTTCACGGTTTGATCTGCACACACAGCACCCGCGCTGCTGGACCCCCGGCCCTTGCTGGCATTAACGTGAAGCGAGATCCGCAGCTCCCTGCCGTAGTCTGTGCCAGCGAAGAGCTCTCTCTTCTCTCCCTGGAGGTATAATGTTTGCATTGATGGCTGGAGATGCTGCCGGTTCACTCGCTTATCGCCGTGGTGGAATTTGCCCTTCCTTGCTTTTTCCCTCTCTTTTCTTTTTTGGAAGGTTGATAGATATCACACCTCGAGGGCTCCGACACCATCACTCGTTCAATGCGATCCTCTCGGTGTCTTGGGGTGGCAGGGATATTTTCTATCTCTGGACAGCTCTAAGCTGAGTCGTCAGTTTTTTCGTTTCTTTTTCCCTCCCAGTGTGAATTGTCATTTGGAACTAGAGGCTGCTGTCGCCTGCAGTTTGCCCCCGGGGTTTCATCCTAATGGGAAGCGAAAAATCGACAATAGGTTGGGGACTTGAATGGCTTTGAAGTACCTAATCACACGGACGACCAACAATTGAAAGGAACTATAACTAGGAGGGTTCCAGGAGAAAGGGACGACGGGATAGGACGAGTCCACCACGCCATTGACGACAACAACAATACCCCCGTTTGCAGCAACGACGACGACGACCACCACTCAACATGTCAGATTCAGGAGAGACATCGGTTCCCTCTCCTGAGTTTCTCTCCCAGAGCCGTGGGCCATCTATCAGAGGTGTCATATGGGTTTCTGTGGTTTGCTCGATCATAATCGTCATAATGAGAGTCCACACTCGCATATTTCTACGCAGAGTGTTTGGGATTGACGATTGGTTTATTGTGCTTGCCATGGTAAGCAAAGACCTCCTCTCTGAGAAACCCTCCTTGATTTTGGAGGGCATTAGTAGCAGCCACGGCGGTATCAAAGCAGATTCATTGACTGGAACTTTAATTTTGCAGGTGCTCATCGTCGCATACGGCGCGGTCGTCGAGCTTGCTGTCCAAAAGGGCCTCGGACGACATCTACAATGGATGCTCATGGATGCCCCCGAGAACCTCGTCTCCCTGGCTCTCCTGGGTCAGATCTCTCAGCCATTTGTCGTCATGTCCTGCGCCATGGGCAAGGTCTCCTTCTCCTTGACCCTAATGCGTCTGGCCGCCCAGCGTTGGATTCATACTCTGCTGTGGTTCCTGGTAATCTCCATGACGACGCTGCACGTTCTCATCTCCATCATTGTCTTTGTGCGCTGCAAGGACCCCAGATCTACCTGGGACACCACCATAGTGAGCGAGTGCTGGCATCCTGAGACGTACCTGAACGTCATGTACTTCATCGGTGGTGAGTACCGGATTTTCCTTTCGCTCGACAATAAATTCAAATGGCTAACATAACCAAGCGTACTCCGCCGCGACCGACTTCATCCTCGCCCTCCTCCCCTGGGCTATGCTCTGGAACCTCAACATGAAGAAGAAGGAAAAGTTCGGCGTAGCCATCGCAATGAGTCTTGGTGTCTTGTAAATCCAACCCCTTCTAAATCCCAGAGTCTTACACTGACCAACCCACCCCTCTTCAGCGCGGGCACAACGGCCATCATCAAGTGCACCAAGCTCCGCGCCAACGCAACCAGCAAGGACCCGACCTTCGACGTCGGCGAGCTCCTCTGGTGGGCCGGCGCCGAGAACGGCCTCATCATCACCGCCGCCTGCCTCCCGACCCTCCGGCCCCTCATGCGCGCCATGTTCCCCTCCACCGTCCGCTCGAGCGGGAACAACAACAACTCCTACCCGCTCAAGAACGTTTCCAACAACGCCAACATGTTCACGCCCAAGAAGCAGGGCCAGTGGACGGCCATCATCGAGTCCGAGGGGGGGCAGCCCGACACCGCGTTCGACAACCAGAGCGACAGGAGCATACTGAACCAGCGCCAGAGCGGCGGGAGCCACATTAGGGGTGGCGCGAGCAATTTGAGTATGAGCAGCAGCAAGGACAATAATGCCCTGGGCGGTCTTAGGGAGGGCGGGGGGAGCGATGGACGGCCGCCGACGCAGATACACAGGACCTTTGAGGTGAATGTCTCGTACCAGCAGAATGGACAAAATGTATAAGGTTGTTACCTATCACCCATTCAAAATTGGCGATGGGACCAATTCTTGTGGTCTCGACGGTTTGGTTCTTTTGGTTTTTATGGAGATTGAGTCTCGGCAATCATCTCATCTCCTGCAGTAACGAGGAATATGTATGACCCTGTAAACAATGCAAATATGGCCTCCCACTGGGTGGGCTGATAGTGAAATAAAGAAACACAACCCTAAGAACTTCAAAATGACTACTGTAATTAGGGGTGAATGAGAAGAAGTCATCGCTCCTGGCTGTGTGGAAGATGACTCCCATCGAGGACGGGAATAATTTCGATATCAGGTTGATCTAGATTGTGATTGAATTTACGTAAATGAAGATGATCGTCTCGAATGTCACATATCAAGGCCACGGTCTTTCAGAAGAGATTTCTCATCTGTTCCTTGAACAGGTACTTGATGATGCATGGTATGTGTTCTGCTCATGGACCATCTAACTCTCCACTGGCTGCCCCTTCCCGATTCCCTCCTCCGAAGAGCGATGCGTACTTGGCATACAAGTTCTCTCTTCATACTGAAGAGATCCAGTTGCGACAATAAAGCAGACGGCTCGTAAATTAATGGCCTGACCTGCTCTTAACGTGATCCGCTCTGTTTTCGACTACACTCGGCCATGGTCTCACGACAAAATAGCATCTTTGCCCGTCTTCGCACTCTCAATCACCCCCTCGATAATACGAAGGACATCCCTGGCCTCGGCCGCCTTGACCGGGACCTCGTTCGCATCCCCGCTGGCCACGGCCTTTGCAAACGCGGCATACAGGGCCTTGTACGTCTCAGGTTCCAGCGCGGGGACCGGCACCTGGCTGATCTTGCCGTCGTCCCCCACGGCAGTCAGCCTGAAGCTCTCGAGGTCCTGCGCCCCGAACCCGGCATCCGTCGCCTTGCCGCCGGCTCGGAGGTGGTCCTCCTGAGGGTCGAGGCCCGTCGTGCGGAAACTGCCCTTTGTGCCTCTGACCCAGAACCGGGGCTGCGCCACCTCTGCGCTCAGCGCGCTGATGCGCAGGTTCACGATCAGGCCGTCGGCATACGCCAGCTCGATGGTCACGGCGTCGGGGTTGAAGAAGTCCGCCGTGCCGCTGCGCTGGTTCAGCAGACGCCCGTGGACTGCCTGGGGCAGGCCGAAGAGCACGTAGGCCTGGTCGATCAGATGGGTGCCCAGGTCGAAGAGGGCGCTGCCAGCCTGGGGGATCCCGATCTGGGCCTTCCAGTTGGTCGGGGCATCGGCCCTGTAGCGGTCAAAGTGGGAGTTGAACTCGACGACCCTCCCGAGCCGGCCCTGGCTGATGAGGTGCTTGGCGGTGAGGAAGTCGAGGTCCCATCGCCGGTTCTGGTAGACGCAGATGAGGCGGCCCTTGTCCTTGGCGATGGAGATGAGATCCTCGGCCTGGGCTGACGTCGGGACGAAGGGCTTCTCGACGAGTACGTGCTTGCCGGCTTCGAGCGCGGCCTTGGTCAGGTCGAAATGGCTGTCGGGTGTCGTGCTGAGGACGACGATGTCCACTTCCGGGTCTGCGATGAGGGCATTTGCGTCATTGTAGTGCTTCAGATCCGGGTAGTCCGCCGGTGCCGAATTGCCTTCTTTTGGCGAGCGTTGGACGATGCTATGGAGGCGGAACTGGGGAGTGAGCTGGATGAAAGGGATATGGAAGACCTTTGCTGAGAGGCTATCGTGATGGTGATTGTCAGCGGAACCATTGCACTAGATGAGACAGAGGCATTCGAGAGACAAACCCATATCCAATTACTCCGACATTGAAGATCTGTTCGGCCATGGTTGTTACGGTTTGTGTGCTTTGCTTGATGCTGCCAGCTCTTGACCCACGACTTCAATGTAGGGAGGTAGAGTCTTTCCGCTGTATGGTCGAATAAACGGTGCGTATCTCGGTATTCTTTTGAAAATTTCTTGATGATTTTTCTCTCGTCGCGGAATCGAGGGGAAGGCCTCGTAGTGGAGCCACCAGACGTTACAGTATGAGCCATCGCCGGCTTGATTTTTAATCAAGCAATCACCAGCGTCGGCGATGCCTCGGTCGCATTCGACATTAGCTCCTGGTCGCTCGCTTTCATGCCGTTGCGGCTGGAAATAGCTCATCACCCCAATCCCACGCGCTTTCAGCTATTTCCACCTGCACAGTGGCGATCAACGGCTTGACAGGGCATGGCACAGGAACGCGTGATGGCTTGTCTCATGTTTGCTTGTCAATTGTGCAAATCTCCAACTCCACTGAATGCTCCGCATTGCTTAACTTTTTTGAGCAATGCATCAAATCGAAGCTTCCATTCTGTAGTTCCAAAAGGAGATTTTATTTTATTCACAAATTTCGAGATGACATGGCTGAGCCTCATTCGACATCCCTCAGAGCTACCTGTATTCTGTCATACCTACTGTGGGACTGGAAGACAGCCTCGTCCTCTGCAAATCACGCTTTTAAGACCATGTACCTACATAAGTGAGGTAGGAATATAGAAGTAACTATAGGCAGAGTGTTCAGAGTAAATATGAATAATTATGCATCAAACCAACACGATGAATTCGCTATGTTTGCAGCAACATTGTGAAGGTTATTTAGGCGTTGAAAGCGATCAGAAGTTGATTCATTAAAGCCAGAAGACGCGTATGTCTTCCAATTGCACATTTGTCATTCGAGCATCGAATTTGCTGGGTATCATGCGGCTTATGCTAAAAGTGATTGGCTGCCTTACTACCCCTCCTCAAGCATGGAGGCTTCGCTGATCTTCAGTAACCGTGCCAAAAATGTCATGTATAGCAAGACTCTTTAGTGTCTTTGTTGGCATCAGAATAAATTGTTCGAATTTGCGTAGTCATAGCACTATCATCTTCTAGAACCATGGCAGCCAAGGGGAGTATTCATGACCTGCGTTATTTGGATACTGATCCTGGGTCTGAGGAGATCGACCCCAACAATGCCAACGGCAATGAGCCCTTGGGAGGACTTCACCGGATCCTGCCCTATGCCGATACACCACCAGAATCAGACACCGAGGATGACGACATTTCCTCCGTCAGTAATGACAGTGTCTCCCCTGAGATTCCTGAGAGCAAGGCCGAGACATCGGTCGTTTTTGTTGAATTCACCATCGAGGAAGTCGACCCGCTAGATGACTCTTGGGACGCCCTGGAGGTCATCCATCCCTATGACATCGAGTATCCCAGAAGCCGCACCAATTCCTTTCACAAGGACTCAGATAAGGCGCTCGTGGCCGAACTGCAAGGTCTCGATTGTTCAGATTCAGAAGCAGACTTAGATGGTGAAGAAGATGCTTTTTTGAGAATACAGAGACTCTACCGTAGGAGCAGACGGATAAGCATGCAATCAAGTTTCGGCAAGCGAGCTTATAGCGAAATAGATAACTGGGACGACGACTATGAGCTGAGTGATGGTGATGAAAATCGAGGCAACGATAAAACGCGGAAGAGAGTCCACACGAGCACGTTATTATTTAACGATCCACCGGTGCCGATTATAGAGCCGGATGAGTTGGATTCCGATGTCGAAGATGGTGAAGCAGAAGATCAAATCCTACAAGAGCTTCCATTTTTCAACTTAGAAATCATGAGTGTGGATTCTGATTTCTCAACTACATCTTCTGATCGCCACAAACACTCTGAATCCGATCCGATACGACGAGAAGGCGAGAATGAACAAGTATCGGAGATAAGGAGTAACGAAGAGGCGGGTGCAGATTCAAACGAAGCAAGGCCAACTCGGACTGATGAAACACGCGACAACTCGCGTGCCATGGCTTCAGTTGAATTTCATAATAACCAGTCCCGCTCTTCTACGAAATCGGATGAAACGCCAATGTGTGGATCTAATTCCATCGATAATACAGATTTGGAAAGTCTCTTCTCTTCGTTTAGCGCATCATCTATGGAGTCCCTCACAACCCTTGATCACAGACAGCGCAGCGGTGTAGCTCTCCTCACCGAACTACTCTTCAACCACAGAGAGTTGAGCCCACTGTACAAACTGGCCATTTCTCGGGTTGAGATTGGAAAGCTGAGAACGCATCTCTATGGCTTCTTCCGGATATACGGCAAGGAGCTGCACCGAGAGGCAAGTGACGAGAAGGAGAGGCTGGCTGCACAGTTCATCCGCAGATGCGCCAGGCTTCTCGCAAACGCCATCTGCCAAAGTCTTCAATCAGAGAGCGGGGAAGAGGACTGGTCGTCCTTGTTATCCATTGAACGTGTTTCCATGGAGCAGAACGTGAATGAGTGGATTAACGCGTCATTGACAAATGTGGAAAGCCTGATCCCGCAGGTGATCGAAGGGGATGAGAAAATAGTTGACTCCTCGAGGGCTGAGACGGCCTCTTCTGAATCGAGTAACGAGGACTACGAGGTCGTCTATGAAGAGCCAGAAGACTATTTGTTACTTAGTGAAGTCGAACATTTCATCTTGTCCGCAGACGCTTTTTCAAATCTCAAACTTGCACTTAGGGCCTGGCTGAATCTGGACGACGGCAACTCAGAAGGCGAGACACCTCTGGAGACCGACCCCAGCGCTGCTTCTTCGAAACATACTAGTCACAAGCTCCTGGCTCTTCTATCTATGATTAGGAGAGCGGGCATGGCAGTCTTTCACAATGTACAAAACGTCTTGATTCTTACTGGGTTTCGAGAGCCTGAGCTAGTCGACGGATACCAACGTGTGCGTTGGAAGAATGTAAGTTCTGCAAGCATATCTAGTTTTAGAAGGAGTTTCCGCGTCCGTGATTAGGCACTGACAAGAAGAAGAATAAAGGGAAAACGCTCTTTGAAGACTATCTAGAAAATGAACCAGGAGCACTGCGGACGCTCGAGGCGTATCTCAACACCTGTGCCTATCAGAAGAATAACACCGGGTCTACATCAGCCAGTTCTTCAAGCGAACAGAGAACTCACAACACCAATAGCTCGGCCTCAGGCTCCATTGGCTCCAGCTCACTTCAAACAAACGTCTCTTGTCACAGCGGTCAAGGTATAGGCCCCAATGAGACTACAAGGGCATTCGAAACGGACATCGAACTGACGGCCTCTCCTTCTGAATCACTCCACTTATTTACTTGTATTGAACGAGGATTTCATAAGTTAGACTTTTCTCAGAAGGTTATTACGAATATTCCAAATGATCAAACGTTGTTTGAATCTTTACGAGAGGAGCATTATTGCGGATACCAGGGACGTTGGAGACGGATTATTTCACTCCGGGCCATTCAAAGCGTTCACTTCATGAAGGTAGCCGACAAAGAACCTAGCCTCGATGTTATCTCTGAGGTCAATGACAGTAACAATTTTTCCTCTAGTTTTTATATGGCGGCCCCGGCTACATTGATCCACGATGCCACGAAGAAGTTTGCGAAAAGGGCAGGCCCTGTGACTGTATCCCACCGTCCCGGCTCGTCTGCCCGACTGGGACAGAATACAAATGCAGCCCCGTCCCTGCGAGACTGCCCCCCCCTGTGGGGTCACGACTTATGATGGACTTCTTTACTGACCCGGCCGGCATTTCAAAGAATTCTACATTTGTCTTGCAGCAGCTCCCGAAGAGAACGCATGGCGAGCTACGGAAGGAAGGGGAGCTGGTTGAAGCTTGGGGGATTTACTTCAAGGAAGGCTGGAATTGGTCTAGGATATGGTGGGTTCTCGGATTGGCTTTCTTCCCGCCAAGCTTATTGTTTGGCATTCTTTGGAGTGTTCTGAGACAAGATATTCAAGGTGCGTTTGGAGTTGCTAGCTGGTGGCTGACTTCGGCCACCATTCTTATAGGAATTTTGGGTACACAGGTATGATGATAGTTTCAATCCCCCGCTCCTCGTCTGGTAGTACCTCTAGAGCGACATGATGCCAGTGCTATGAACTGTTCAATTCTCGTTTCCTGTATATGGACTCATGTTAACACTTTGTACTGATGACTAAAGGAGGCACGTGAACACCCATGAGATGTGAAATTTACGTCTTGATCCAGGACGAAGAACTCAAGAATTGACTCAAAGTGTGTGTTCACTATCTTTCCAAAAAATTCGATAATCCGAACATACAATGATGAGCGTATTAGTAAGATATGGCGGAGATGTTGAATTCATGGGGATACGTTTAGTTTGGACTTGGAGATATAGGTGGCTGTTTCACGAGGTCGAAGGCTCCGAACTTGCACTAGAGGCCTCACAAGATGTCGACTAATCAGAATATAATGGGCTCCTCTTACTCATAACTATTCCGCTACCAAGTTTGATATGTGTTCTAACATTTTTCTTTTCTCCAAAAAGAAAAAATCAGATAAGGGCAACCATTTCATGTCCCTGTTCATCATTGCTCCCTTTCACTGCTACTCTCATGCTCCAAACTTGAGAGTTGTTAATATTCTCCTCTATATAGCCATATTTCCCCGTAGTCTTAGATACCAGCGCGAGCGCCACAGTCTCTCCCAAAGTGCCACAAGCCCGACCGTGCGGAGGACTTTTGTGAATAAGGAGAGCGGTATGCACTATAGCAATAATCACCTGTACGAATAACAATGTAAATGCGAGTGGGATAGAGACACTTCCTTGGAACTTGTATCCATAGCGGTGTTGATAGTAAATGACATCTACCATCCTCAGGTTAGAAGAAGGAGGAAAACCCTCGATCCCTGTAAAAGTCGGGGTTGAGGATGAATAAACCATGCCTCCCACAGAAGTCAAGAAATCTACCAAGAAGACAGATAGAAATGCGGGAATCCGGGTCGGAGGGGAATATGGGGCATATTTCATCATGTATGCCAAAGCTGAAGCTGACCGTGTATCATTTCGGTCGTTTGGTATATCATATGCGGTTTCTAGCCATTCGGGGCCCATTTTGATGACGTTTTCGTGAGTTGAGGTCTCGGACATGAATCCTGCCACATCTGAGAACGACGTCTCCAGCTGCACAAAGGTATGTGGCTCTTTCAAGTCCATCCAAACATCCGCTTCAACCCAACGGGCTTGTATGAGGCAGAGAGTTGTCGACCAATATCGATATTCAAAAACATTATCCGGGTAGTGCCTTAAAATGACTGCAGCTGTAATCGGGACTGGAACCTTATCCTGAAGATCAGGGAAAACTGTCAAAGGTAGATGATACGCTTTCCCAGCTGTTTGTAATGGTCCCAACTCTTTTCCATCTAAAGAGAGCTCGAAGGAGAAGTTTTCCTTGTGGAACGAACTCCCGAAGAAATTGAACCTTACCACGTCTCCGCCAATAGGGGTGTGTGATTTCTCTTCTTCGAGCGACTCATTGCAATGCACTGCGACAAGTGGCTGTCTAAATTTCTCGGCTGGTGTATTGTCGGTTCTTTTCGGCTGTGCCTTTAAGATGCTAGGAAAGTTTCGATCTTTCTGTTGAGTGTATTTTCTGGAATTCCACAGCGGCTCAACCGAAAATCCTATAGGAGCGGTAGCGAAGGCGGTTCCATAAGACTGACTGGAAGAGGGCGAAGGGTCCGTCGTTGTCAATGAGATTGGGAGACCCACATAAGACCTTTCTGGTCTTATGTAGGAAAGGTTGGACATTTGTGGAATATAAGGCTTTCTTTCAAGTGCGTCCTCCAGCTCCAGTCCTAAGTTCGTCAAATTGGTGAGGGTTTCTGGTCCAGGTAAAATTTTCAATTGAAGTGGCCCTAACGAAAGGATTTTGGTTGAGTCCTTTGGATTTCCTTCATAATTCATGACGTAAAAGTCGTCTGTAAAAACATAAATACCTTGGTTTTGGTATCCTATCTCCGTGGTGTTATCAACTGCCCACCACGTCTGTCGAGGTATCAAAACAATGGCAGAAAAAGGGCCAGCACCAATCCCAACCAAAGTAAGTAGCAGGAACAAACTGATCGTAATGGTATGAGAGGATCTCCTGGTTGCTGGTTTCAGGACGGTATTCCAAAACTCGTGGCTGAAAAGATACCCGAAGGGTGCAATGATATAATGGGGCGAAGCCAGAAACCCAACTTGCAAGCCCTCGTCTCGAGTCAAGCAGTACCGAATTCGATGCAACATTGCTTCGGCAAGAGAGATGAATATCAACGCTTCGTGTGCTTTAGCTGCGAACTGGAGAACACCAAGCTCTTCACTGGTTGGATGCGATGGCTCCCATTGAACTTGCTTGATATACAGCCCCAACAAGGCGAGGGTCACTGCTATAGCCGGCATATGGAACATCATAAATCCCCTGAGAGCTATCCAGGTATGAGTTTTGGGTGTAGAGTATGAAGATTCGGGATCATTCTGATCTTGCATGTTGCTTAGTTCTATTTGCTCAGGAGCAAGCAGGTAAGTCTCTGCTGTTGAAGGCGCCTCGCTTCTTGGCTTTGAAAGATTCATTTCGTTATAATGATATTAGAAACAGAAAAGTGCGAGGAGATAAGGAGAAAGCTTCCATGTGGGGTTGCATGAACAGCGAGGTTTTGGAGGAGCTGTTTACCTGGTTTTATAGACGGGTCAGATCGACAGCAAGTGGAACTGGATGTAACATGCTTATAGCACGAATGATTATAATATCTCGGCGCTCAAAAGGAATTTTGGGGGTTGCAATGGCCCCATGCAGCCATCATGCGTTAAGGGTAACATTCGTTAGGCATTCTTGCATCAAGTTTTTTTCTATATATAGCAAAAAAGGGGAGAAAACTAAATAAGTCAGACTACTAATCACTATTTCCAAGGAAGATCCAAAATCTCTATTCCCACTATTTTTTCTTGTACGAGATTGTTCTATCTCTACGCTGTGATAAATTTATATGTTCGAGATTCCGTAGGACAGCAATAAGTTCAAGTATGATTTTGAGGTTAACAACAATCAACCCCTCAAAGAACCTTTCAAGAAAGGCCAGTGCGTGAAAATGAAACTTAATGTGCCCATCTGCTACCATTTTATGATTTTAAAGAGAAAGAGACAAGAAAGGAACAACTCATTCGTCAAGTGAAACATCCAATAGGTATCAAGTTCAAGGGGTAAAGTCTCTGTCCTGCGTTTGACACGTCAGTTGCGTCGATCAAACTTATCTCTAGTTCCTTATTCCGTACACCAAAACCATGAGCACAGTATTCTTTGAACTATTCTCTGGCTTATTGGTAAAGGTTGTCACGTTATTGTAGGATCAGCTTTGAGCCAGAAGCTTATCACAGCTATTTCAGGTCCCTGAGCTATTAGCGAAGACAATACATAGATCTCCCACGACACCAAGAAAAGGGCAATCTGATGGAGAAGAATGGAAATATTTTCTTGGAACTTGATCGTCCAAGCTTATCGGGGGGCAATACTACTATTCCTAGGAATTCGATATTGCCTGTAATGAATCGGACCAGTCAAAACAGTTGATGATATCCCGTCAGTAATTCGTCCTCATTTTCCATATCCGAACATTTGTTTTAGAATCTAGAAATAAGCTCAAGAAACATACCAGAGGAGAAAAATTCTACAGAGTCGTAGATTAGAAAGAGATATTGTAGGTCTGTATAGGAGGATCATGATGTTCAGCACCGTGGTGATCACTTTTCTCGAGGTATGCGACCATGCCTGTCGACAAAAATTATGAAATATACTTAATGTATGCCGAGAGGCATCTTTGAGGCGCTAGACCTACTGTTTATTTTTAAAGGGATATACTACTGTGCTAACGAGAGACCTGGATTATAGCGATCATCACGACTTGGATATGTCACTAGATCGGCCTGTTTAAATAGAACGGGGCTGAGCCCCCTATCATCTGTGGACGCCACGCAACATCTTTAGCAAATTACTATCCGCTCTGTAGGTAGGCTAATAAGTAAGGCCTTGAGATCTCGTATCCGTCGCCGGTGGTGTAACAAGCTCATTCCGCCCGGGCCAGTCCCACTATCCAAGCAGCCAATCATGGACTTTACGCTCCGAAAATGAAGTGTCTGCGACCGCTAAACTTGAGATGCGCAGCGGAAGCGCCACACAATGATGGCATGGTCTTCTTGAGGACGCGACGGCATATGGATACAATTTCCCTGTATATATGGGCTTAAATGTCAGTATCATTTTGTCTGGGCTTCTGTTTCCTGGTCATCGTCTCTCCCACTCCCTCCTTCACTAGCCACTCACCATGTCTCAGACTCTTTACAACAACACAGAGCCTCCGTTTGGGCCAATAGTCAACGGGACACAAATTGTCTTTTTTGAATATAGGCCGAACATCGGTGCTGCATGGGCGTTTGTCGTCTTATTCGCTATTGCTGCTGTGGTTCATTTCAGCATGTTAATATGGCTTCGGGCGTGGCATTTCATCCCGCTGACTCTCGGCCTCATCGGTGAGTCCTCAGCATTTCAATCAGTCTCTCGCATTCTAATAAATGAACCACCAGGCGAAGCGTTTGGATACTACGGCAGGGTCCGCGCACACAGCGAGCCTAACATCGCGGGTCCTTTCATCATGCAGAACATCCTCATTCTTGGCTGCGCACCCCTTGTTGCAGCCACGGTGTACATGACGCTCGCGAGATACATCCGAGTCTTTGACATTCGCGACCGTATACACATCCCACCGCGCCTGATGACATTCTTCTTCGTCTTGGTTGATGTAGGATGCTTTGTCACTCAAGTCTTCGGCTCGGCGGCTCCTGCATCAGGCGATCCGCAGGGAATCGCCTTGGGCCGAACGCTCATCATATCTGGGCTGATTGCACAGCTTGTAGCGCTCGCATTGTTCATTCTCACATCACTCATCTCGCATCGACTAGCAATAAGCGAAAGCACGGGCCTCAAAACCACCCCGATTACGATCTACGGTTCCAAGTACTTCCATGCTACGTATTGCGTGGCCGGGGCCATGGTGGTGCGCAGTCTTGTCCGAGGAATCGAGTACTTGCAAGGAGACAAGGGGTTCATCATTGCGCATGAAATCTTCATCTATCTTTTCGATGCCGCCCCCATGCTTCTCGTCCCAGTGGTCTACGTCTTTATCCACCCCGGAAAACTTCTGAGGGATGCCGCGAGGGGGGTGTCCAGCAGCACGGAACTATCGCGATATGATGTACTAGATTCCTGACTACGCAGTAGAAGAGTAGATGAGAATACCCATCACGTCTTAGCAATTGCGAGGCCACATAGCGAGATTGCTGGGCCTTTGAAGGAAATCATATAGAGTGACGGGAACATATCATGTTTGGTTGAGATAGTATAGATTCATGTAATGGCGTTCATTTCCCATAGAAAACACTCAATCCTCAAAAAGAGATTCTATCCTTCACGATGATAGCGGAACTGAGATATCGACATGGTCAACACCCTAAAAAGTCTTCAGATATTGAATTCAAGACTTGGTGCTATCCTGCAGTCAGCCAGGCTCAGTCAAATTGAAATCTCACTGATATAAAAAAAGCCTGCATCTCTTTTCATTGCCTCGGATAAGTCATCGGCCTATGTCAGGCAATGCGACGGAAACTGTGTTCCCTCCGAATTTGATGCAACGAAACAGGCCGAATGACGAGCTCTGGTAAATCCAGTGCGAGTATAGCGTCAGCGTGAGAAAGGATATTCTCGCTTTCAAGCCTTCCGTACACCAATTCCACTCCATGACCCGACCGCTCCATGCTGACCGCTTCCCAAGCCTGGATAACGGAGAGCCCCAGATTAATATCCCAGGTGCTTCTCCACTCAAGAATGGAAGGTTTGGTCCGTCCATCATATCTAAAGAGTGCCGCGAGACCTGCTCGTCCATTCCATATTTCCATGCTCTCGAGCTGCGGCATACAAGCACTCCTCAATGCCGCTTCTTGAAGCATATTCATAATGCTGGTGTGGCTCTTATCTGGTGCAAGCAGCTGCGAGGTGAGGACCAAAGACTTCAGATTCGGCCACCTCTGTGAGGATTGATACTCTTCGGCACCAAAGAAGTCGCTCGCATCCACCATGAATGACGCGGAGAGATGTTCAAAGTTGGTACTGATCCTAGAAAGCATTTGACTAATATCAGGGCTTGGGGTCCGAATATAAGAGCAATCCATAGGCAGATAGGCGTGGGTATACCGCTGGTTGAAATTCTCGAAGATACTTAGACTACTCAGCCTCCTAAGGGGCAGCGACTGAAGAAGATTGAGAAATGCTGTTATTTAAGAAGTTTTAGCATGCATTTTATAACTCATACAATATACGACATATCGCAGCGTAAATAAATAATAGGAGAAGAAAAAACTCACTTGCATCCGTCGATTTCTGAAGGATATCATCCCACTCTCTCCAAGGTTCATAACACAGCTCATGCAGTCTAGGGAGACGAGCAAAAATTTCAGCAAGGTCCTCAGAGTTCCAACGGCGGCGGGTTTGTTGGCGCAATAAAACGCGTTTTATTGCTGGTACTTGTGGCAACTGCCGGCACCATTCGTTTTCTTGCTCGTCATCGCCAGTTCCCATGATCGGGACAAAGACTTTCTCAATGGCAGATTGTAGAGGAACCGGAATCAAACCAAATGTATCCCATTGATGTCTGCGGTCATTCTTTCCAGCTGGCACTGTCTCTGGATCCAGCTCCTGACCATGCCTGCCCGACTTTGGCGAGGCATCAGGTTCAAAGGTCAGATATTTGAACCAATGGTCTCGGTCGCTTGTTGAGTAGACACTTATATCAAGTGACAGACGGCTATCTGGTGCCCAGGTGCTGATGATTGAGAAGAGATGGCGAAATGCTGCCGTTATGAGAGCATCGTCGCTGGTGCTTGTCGAGTAGATAGCCTCATCCTCGGGGGCGCACTCTGGACAACCGTATTGTTCGAGTTCTAGGCAAAACCACAAGTAGCGTACGTGGTTTCGGTGACGAAGTGTCATCGTATCGAGCTCAGCGATACGTGACGGTGTGAGTCTGATTCGATTGAAATTGCGTTGCTCGATTACGCCCTGCCACTCCCTCGACACTACAGCCAAGTCTGCAAAGTTGCAATCGTCGTCTTCCACGAGAGCTTGGAGGATCATGAGTCTTATCTCTGTATACAGCTCGGTCCAGGCCATCTTGTAAGCTAGACAACGCTGAAATTGCTGTAGTTGCGTTAACTTGAAGGAGAGAATCGATGATGATGACCGTCTCGTCCGGGTAGAAGACGAAGGTTTAGAACAAGCATCGTGACGGAGACATAAACTTTTATAGCAAGGAGTCAGCAGGTTTAAAACTTTAACCTAATGGACACGTAAAGGTATGAGAAAGTGTATTAAAACTCAAATTTCCTCAAGCCATTCATCTTTAAATGAATCAGCAAGCTTCGTGATAGATCGCGCTCATTTGACCAACCACTCCCGCGATGCTCTCAGCGTTCGAGAGTTTGCTTGTACGAGCCGACCCCTCTTACCCGCTTCAGTACCAGCCCATACCATAAGATAGCTCTCTATGTACTGTCCCTCGCTATTGGTCAGCTCTATCTATGGGACATCCCCTTCGATGGGCTAACCTTTTTAATGGGATAGTATACAATGTACTAGCCTTTCTAATAGGACAGTACATAATGTGCCAGCCCTTTTCTTGAGATAGCATACATGTATGGTCTAATGCCCAAAAACAGGAGACCGGCCCCTACAGGGTCCGCCAATGCCTTTTCGGAACGACTTAAGACCTTGAGAAGTAGGGCGCTTGTCTTGTGACTACAGGGGTTGGTGGCGTCTGCGTGTGACCAGTCTTTTGCCTTTTGCGGTTTGAGACGCTGCGCAGTCACAGAGGGCCGGAAATGAAATCAAGACATCACATACAAGGGTTTGGTCTTTTGGCGGTGAGTTGTGTTGGAAATATTGGCAAGGAGATACTGGCATAGGCACCGCAAAGATGTGATTCTGGTGTCTGCCTATATCTATCTATCCACAGGAGGCTACCTATACAGTCAACATGAATTGAGGGAGCTGCAGAGGACCATTCTCGATGTATCGTTTGATTCGAGACAATCTTTGAACTGCGTTGATAGTTCGGGCGGCTGCGTTTAGACTGAGGCAGGTTCAACGCATTCTATGAGGCTATGGAGGTCTGTACTTGCCTTAGTCTCGGGGGTCATTTGCCGTCTGCATACTACATATGAAACTGATTCTGGTCAGCAGTTGATGGGGCCATTGTAAGACAGCGGTAAGACATCGGCAAGCTATTCTCATAGATAATAGACCGTAGAGCTTCCGGGCAACATTACCCGGATCGTATGATTGATGCTTAAACACGTCAAAGTTGCAGAGATGTGCATCAGGATTGAGTCACTTTGACACAGAGATGCGCGACTTTTGATCTATATTGTCATGAATGGCTGAGACACACGACCTAGGCGAGAATAGTCTGGAATGTAATAGGCCCTGCAAGGATTGGAAAGGGATACACCTATCACATGTCGCTCCTACCAGGGTGGTATATAAGATAGGGAAGCCAACTACAACGCAGCGTTCCAGATCAGATTTTATCTATCCTAAAGTAAATTGAATTTCATAGAATTTCTTACTTCGTTCTCAAATCAATATGCGCTTCACCTCCGTCGCTTTTGTTCTCTGCATGTCGGTCGGCAGCTACGCAATGGCTATGCCTGGCGAAGCATCTAACGCCGTCTCTCACGTTGCTCAAGCTGCTCAGGGATGCGGGGCCGCTGGGAGCTGCAAGGGAGTCGGTGGAGGAGCCCTCTGCAATAATCGAGTCAGTATTGTTTAGTTTGCCTTTTTGAATGCTGTTGCTAACATACTTCAGTGCAAGGAATGCACAAATAACCAGGGCAAGCGTTACCGAGGGGGCAGTTGTGGCGGGTTGCTCTTGCAGTAAGTTATGCAAAGACTATAGAAAAGTATATATTGACACAATCCTTTAGGACTTGCCAGTGCTTTTTTTAGAAGGCTTCAGGGAAGAACGGCTGCAAGAAGATGACGTATGTCTGATGGATTTGATTTCTCGATGGGATGGAAACAGCATCTTGCCCGTGACGATAGCTGCTAAGGCAACAAATAAATAACCCAGCCATAAAATCCGATATCTATCAGATCACTAGTTGGTAGCTTTCACGATGTTGAAAAGATTTGAATTCTTCATTTGCGAGCCTTGGCACTCTAATAACACATGAACCGACTGGAATGAAAGATGTGCACTTTGGAGGCAGTAATGAATGCATGATTTTTCTTAGCTTTGTGGCTTTTTTTGTTGTTGAGGTTGATAAAATTGGCCGTTGTAAAGTATTTGTGGCGTATGAATGGTGGTGAATTAATTGTGGTAAATGACGAGGCGCAGGCATCTGTGGTGCAGTTGTTGAGCACGAATCGTTTCGAGGCCTGTGCGTATGAAAGAGAGCGCAGAAGAAAGAGCCTTTTCGTTCCTCAAGGCATAGGATCAGCCCTCGAACATGGACATCAACCCGAATTTACACCCAGGCTCTACTGTCACACGGGCTGACAAATAAGCCCCCAAATTGTTGCTGCCTAGCTATAGTCTTCTATAATCAAGCAGCCAATATTACGTATGGGCTGAGCATGGCCATACTGTGCCCCAGTTCCTGGACCATGACTGAGCTGCCTGAGCTGTGGCTGAGCGAAACCCTGAGCATGACTGAGCCCAAGTTGAGCCGACAGCGTACTACTGAAATTGGAGACGATTGTTTTTCAGGAATGACTACAGGGGTTTAGATGACCCCAGAGGATAGTTCTACGTCTTTGGCCTCCATATATGGGGTTGTGAGATCATTCCTCGTTTATGGATTTGCCGGAGCCGGCATAACGGCAACAACATGAGTTTGATCGTCTTTCTAGTTAACGTTTTGGACCGAAACATCCGGGCCTTGGAAGGGGATGTAGAGGCTAGTTGCATAATCCAAATTGCTACGAATTTCTACCGGAAGGACTGATTTGTCAAAGGTAAGGATTGAAGGCCCGATTGATCTCTGCAGAACCTGATCCGCTCGCGGTGCAGACAGATGGGAACTAGCTGAGGGGAAACACGGCTGGGCTAGATTGAAAGCAGGAAGATGAAATGGGGTAGATCTGCGGGGCTGAGGGAAGACCGGCACGTTTTGAACGGGGTTGTTGAGTCTTCCGGTTGGCTTCACATGGCACCCGACTGAAGAGATCGGCAGCACATGTCATTGAACCGAGCCGAGGCTATCCGCTCCACCCTTCCACTACGGCTGAGATCAATTATGAGCCTGCTCTCCAGATTCTATTGTTCCCCAGATCCTGATATGCGGGGAAATCTGGATTTAGTTTAACCCTTTACCCCTGGACCTGACTAGCGGAGATAGTAGGAGGAGGCTAAGCCGCAGATTTCAGGCCGCTCAGAGACAAAAATTCCTTCCTATACGAATGGAGCCTTTGGGTCCAGTATCCTATTCTTTTTAATTCACGTGCGTGAGAGAGGTTGACTTCACTTAACTTGTGATTGTCCGGACCGAGGTCTTGTGACAATGAAGAGACATTGTTGGCTACGCAACAGGCTAACACTCAATCGCCCAATTCGTGTTTCATGGGGGTGCACCGGATGAGATGTGACTGGGGAGCTGAGACAGTTCCAAAGCCATGTGAGGCAAAAGTTCGAAGAAGGAAAAAACTTATCTCATTACAGCTATGACTGTTTGACGCCAACCTATCTCCATGTTCCCGAAAACCTCCTTTCTGTTCTTCACGATCCTGATCTAGCCCACTTCAAAGAGTTAGAAAGACCTGCGGCTATCCCTATTCATATCCGTCTCAACTCACGTAGAAGTCACACTCTGACAATGTTTACTATAGGTAGAAGAGAGCGTAAACCCACGGCTTTTATCATGACGTCCGTCCATGTGATCAAGTCTAAGGGATTCTGAGGTAAAGGGAGCAACGCTTTTTCTGGCTTTTGACATGGTGATAAAAAGAAATAAGATTCTTCATCTATAGAGGAAAAAATAAACATACAACAGCCAGGATTCGCTGGTCGTCACCGACCCAGCTACTAATTGACCCCTTACTAGCTTAACGCTCGGAGATCAAACGGGATCCAGTGCTTTCTAGCAGGTATGGTCGTATGTGGTTGAGAGAGGATGTGATTTGGTTTATAACGTGGTGGTGGCTGGCGGGGACGGGGTGCTAGGCCCGTGAACTGGGAACTCTTGGCCGTCAGGTCAACAAGTCACGTTGCTTCTCGTACGTTTATGACTTGTATTCTCAAAAGACAGAATCACTGGGCGGCAGATAATGTTTAGCTGTATCATTGCCTCTTTTGCGGTGTATTCAGGAATCAGTCTCGCAGAGTACGGACAAGCGGAAGTGACCCTGAGTAGGGGTTCGCTCATGCATTATGTCTAATTAGCTGCTTACTTCGATTTCAATCGTGGTAGATAGAACCACACCTAGAAAGGAACCTCATCGGGGGGGACGGTCATGGTATCAAGTTCGCAAAAGAGCAGGCGCTTGGTGATTGATTAACGAATCCACCGGGCTGGCGAGGGATGAATGATTGCGGAGAAGCATCTACGATACCCTCCCTAACTTAGTATTATGCGGGCTTAAATTATCACCTAGCTGTGTTAAAATGAACACACTCGATGGAATGGTGGGATATTCTAGACATCTCATGGGACAGGCAAGCCGAGGTTAGCCGGTTACTGAGTGGAATGTAATTCCATGAGACACGCGATTAAGTCATTTTTAGTTGGGATTACAATATTTAGAATTCAAAGCTGTGAATTGACAGTTTCTTCATGTTATACTCATTGAGGGCTCCCCTAAACCCAGAGAGTTGAAGAGCTCATATGCTTAGTGACGAGATGCTCATTGTAATACGCCGACTCCTATTGCTGTTAATAAGACTCACTCGGGCGAGAAAACTGTACATTCATCGCCCCCAATGCTACGCCCACGGCCTTCACCCACTGTGATCAAAGGCATCAGGTTGGCTGTCTAATCCCGCAAACAGATGCGGCAAACGTCTCGGTTCAGGCTTTGAACGGCCTTGAGGGTGTTCCGATCAAACATCCGCGCAACATTCCATGTTTCAGCGCATCTTATACTCACCACTAACGAGGTACCGTGACAGAGAAGATCATGTATCAGATGTAGTCTCCCGGGACTACCCGCGACGAGGTAACAAACATATTGCTTCTCAGGTACGCTGCACCGGCAGGGCCCCTGATGCAACGAGAAGAAGATTACCTAGCATCGCATTGGGAAGGATACCGCGAGTAGATATTCCAGATAGTACCTTGCAGGATGCTAATTTCCGTAGCTGTGTAGGTGTCATCGCAGCGGTTGGCACCGAAAGCAGCAGTCTTTGCCACAGCTGAATGACACAGAGCGGCGCCACAGGCGCCAGACTTTGGGATCAATCTTATTCGCAGTCAGCAACGGTGGGAGGAGTGGCATGCACACAAAGGCCCATCCTCCATGCACCCTGAGTAGAGTGTACTGCAACCCTCCTTGGGGTGGCTGATCTCCCTGCGCGTTTCTGGATCGAGACATGGAATACGAACTCGAGCGACGGAGCGAATCAGCGCTGTTTTGCTCCAATTCATCGAGGGGAAGGACATGTTGGAACGTCATGCCTGGGATGCATGTTATGTCATGTCACAAAGTCTCGACACTGACCTGCCAATTGACCAAGGCCACTTTTCCATGCCAAATCGCCTCGCAGGGGAAAGGCAACCCAGAGGGGCCATCAGACCACACACACCCCTTGTTCCATCACTCAGGCCCTGGTCTGGTGGGCAGGGGGTCATGTCGCGGTTCACAGAACCAATTGGCTGTTTTCTTGTGCACCGGTCATAATGTTGCTCTTATTAATGCGAAAAGGGCCATTACCCGTTCTTGTCCCAGACTGTGCATGGGTAGGTAAATCAATTGGATCATTTCGAGTATCCTGCTCGGAAAGTGGCGGTCATCCTTTCCGGAGACTTGAGGGCAGAGCGAACAAGCGAACTGTGGAAGCAGATGAGAATAAAAATTATGCTGCAAAGGGGGATCTCACAGTGGCCCTACAAATGGGGATGCCCAAATCCAGGTGCATTTCAGACATGCACCCGCAGGTTTTCAATCAATGTCTGATGGATGGATGGGTGTGCTTCCTGCGCCAAGTAAAACGGCCCGGGCAAGAGACTGTCATACAGAGTGACAATGGAGAGACCTCTCATGACTGGAGGGGTGAGCATCATCGGGGACGGCCGACCAATGGCAAAGGCCTCACCCTCGTCGCAGGAGCCATCCTCGATGGGTTGTCATGGCCGACTCAACGCCCTGTCCCTGGCTCGGCTGCTTGACTGCGACGTAGCGAGCCAACCAGAGGGCGGAGAGTTCCGTCAGAGAGGGTCCGAGGAACTAATTCCCCGGATTATTGTCTGCCTGTCTGTAGGTCATTGCCTGGTAGCTGATGGTTGATGGTACCCCTCGCTTCAGCCCAACGAGCCGTGTTGGATGCTGCACTCCCATACCACCATAGGTACTCACCGTTCCGTATTGAGCTTCGCACCCCCATAATCTTGGGTCTTCATTTCCTTTCGGCAATAGGGGAAGGTGGATTTGAATCGCCAGTATAGAATGGCAGTGGCAGATTGAGCCCATCCGCCCCTCTCCGAGCAGAGCACGCGAACTGAATTGATCGGGCACAGACCACGGAAAAGCTGGGGAAGGCCCCATCGGTTCCGCTCTCCTCTTGCCTCGCTGCCATTGTGTATTCAATCCCCAGTTCGCCAGGGGGCAGCGACGAGCCGATCACTGCTCGTTCCTCACAAGCGCAGCTCAAAAAACCAGCATGTCACAAGCCAAGGCGATGCGGAGAGACAAAGGCCCAGCTGGGCCGAGGACGAGCTAGCGGCCGAGGGAGTCAGGCTGCAGAATCGCCGAGAGATCTGAGGCTCGATTCCGCATGCGCATGGCGCCGAGTCTGTCCCTCCCCAGCCTTGGAGATGAGGCAAAAGAACTTGGCTCTAGGTGCGTGTGGCAGCTTATTTCTCGGCAGAAAGGTAAACCTGGAGGATTGTGCCCAATTGCAGCCTTTCTCAGAGCGTGTGGAACGTGCATGTAGCAAAAGACACGAGGCATGCGACACAATCTCGACAGGATGGTCGCATCGAATTGAATTTTTTTTGTTGCCTGGGAGCTATTCCAAAAGAAGCCGCACGCTTTGAACTATCGCCATTCACATGTTCTGGGGAATGAGGGGAAGGCGACCAAACAACAAGACACCTTCCGAGGCATATTACCCCAGGTTTGATTGATCCCCAGGTGATATTCTCTCCTGTACACCCGAAATGGATTAATGCCAGTTGATCGAGGCTGGTCCACCAAGTATCCTCCGCTCTTCTCCTGCTCGGCTCTGTCTGACGAGCTGCCGATCTCATTTAACTCGGAAGTGTGGCTCGAAAACGGAAGGCGAGCCGTGATGGATGCCATCTTCTGGGAAAGGAGAGGCGGTGGTGGTGGTCCAACAGCGCGCATCATACGTAGTAGGCCACCAACGCCACATCCAATATCGCTTCCTGCAGTCGAGAAGCCACCCGTCCACACAGCTCCCGTATCCATTCCTTGCCATGGGTCACATTGGCAACGGGGAGGGATCGCACGCCTGTCTGGCTGCCAGCCTTTTGACCTCACCCCTGCACACGCCCCTCCCCCTCCTGCTTGCTGCAACGACAAGCAGGGATGCCTCACAGGAGGGAAGGAACTCCTCATGCGACTTGCCTACTGTGTAAGTGGGCTGGATCGGGCTCAGGAGAGATGTATGTGAAGTGATGGCAGGCTTTGGTGCTCACCACCCAAGCGACTGTTGCATTCCCGTCCTCGTACCTACATAAGAGGACAACCACCACGCACTGGCCGTCCCTTGTTCCTGCTTCTCCTCCTCTCCATCCGCTCGCTTGGTCATCATCAGCACGCATACACTCGTTGTCAATCAACTCTGTACATAATCACGCACCCTGAACACAGCAAAGACACTCCAGTCAAATCAGTCAAAATGAAGTTCTCCCTCGTCGCCATTGCCTTCGCCGCCGCCGTCAGCGCCCAGAGCCGCTCCGACATCCCTGAGTGCGCCATCGGCTGCCTCGACGACGTTATCAAGTCCAAGACCAGCTGCTCCGTCGACGACTTTAACTGCGTCTGCAAGAACTTCGAGGCGCTCCAGGGCGACGCCACTCCTTGTGTCCTCGAGAAGTGTGGTGCCGAGACTGCCCTCAGTGCGTTCCCCCTTCACTGACCCCTCCCCTGATGAAAGCGAGAAAAACTAACCGCTCTCCCTCCGAACAGACCAGGTCCTGCCCGCCGTCCAAAAGCTCTGTGCCGCCGTCAGCGCTTCCCCCAGCAGCTCCGCCGCCGCTGCCACCTCCTCGGGATCTGCCTCTGCCTCAGCCTCAGCCTCGGCCTCGTCCTCAGCCTCCTCTGGATCGTCTTCTGCCTCCAAGTCTGCCGCCACCACTCCCGCCTCTTCCACCGGAACCACCAAGCCAACCTCCAACCCCAGCCCCACCGTCACCTCATCCACCAGCACCGTCCCCACTGGTGCTGCCGGTCAGCTCGCTCCTCTCGGTGCTCTGGCCATCGGTGCCCTCGCCTTTGCCCTCTAAGCAGAGTCGGGATAGGTTCATCCACCTCACCTCTGAGGGAAACACTGGTCATGTGGTTATGATGAGAAGACGGGCTCTGATGATGATCAGGCGTTGTTTTCTTCCTGCCCTTCATGAGCTTTCGTGAAGCTTTGTAATGGATGCTTTTGCTGTTTTTTTGGTCCTTTGCTGTTGGAAACTAAGAAAAAGAAAAGAAACACGACTCGTCAATTCCGTCCTCGCCAGATCTCGGGTTGAGAAGACAGACTGGGCCGCGATACACAAGAGACGGAGGAAAGGAATCATGGGCGGAATGTATCAATTACCGTTCTAGATAATAATACTTGGAAAATCACCTTTGCTTCATCATATCTCGTTAACTATGACTTCTGCAACCTTGTCAGTGTAAATGTACCCAAGCATCAGCAAGAATGAAACAGCGGATGGTGAAATGCTCAGCCCTTACTAACCGCGGGGCAAAGGTAAAGAGGGAGTGGACGAATGTGGCTTTCTCACTTACCATCAGACAGAAAGAGTCTTGTTCATCACGATCTGCCATCCTCAATCTCCTCCAGCCATTCCAACACCGTTTCCGCAACCTGTTTAAAGTCCTCTGTGCGTCTCAATCAGCCATCATCTTCCAATATCCAACAGCCCGCTCAACAAACTCACCTTCTTTCAGACAGAAAGCATGCGGAAGATCCCCCTCGTCCACCTCGATCCTCGTCTCCCCGCCGTCCTTCCTCCTCCGCGCAATAAACTCATCCCTCAGATGATTCGCAACCCAGTGGTCCTCCTTGCCATACAGGATGAAGAACCTCGGCGCCGCCCCAGACGACCCTCCCTCCCCCTCCGCCGCCATACCCCACAGCCTCTCCTCCCACACCTCCTCCCTGATCGTCTCCATCTCCGACTTGCCCAGGTGCACCGCCTGCCAGACCCCGTCCCGGCTCTTCAGCCACCGCGCCAGCGCCCTCACCACCCTCCCGTCCCTCGCCCCGACCACCCGTCCCACCAGCCAGCGCACCGCCGCCTCCGGTATCACCCCCAGCAGGCCCCTCGCCAGCAGGTGGAAGTACGAGTCCATCAGCGGCACCGCCCTCAGCAGCTGCATCCTCCGCCCGCTCGGCGACGCCGCGATGTGCGTCAGCGTCGGGAACAGCAGGAACCCATGCCGCAGCCTCGCGTGCCTCGCCCACCCGGCCGGCTGCTGCTCTGCCAGGTGCCGGTGCATCACCTCCGTCGCGATGTAGGCGCCCACCGAGTGGCCCATGAGTATCACGTCCCCGTAGCCTTTTCCTCCGCTCCTCTTGGCCTCGTCAGCCACCACGCCCGCCACGCTCTCATACACGGAGCGGATCTGCCCCTCCAGGTCGACGGGCTCGTTGTCCGGCGCCGAGAAGGGCGGTGCGTGGTCGTCGTCGTCGAACCCGACCAGGCTGCGCCCGTACAGGTCCACCTCCACGCGGCCCATCGACGCCGAGGACGAGATGAGCTCCCGGAGGTGGGCCAGGAACCCCTCGTAGAACTCGATGAGGCCCGGGTTGCCGCAGATGAAGTAGATCAGGGCCCGGCGGCGACCGTTCTCCCCCGGTGCCGGTTCACCCTCGCGATGCCTCAGGAACACCGAGTGGGGAGGCCGTGTCTCTGAAGCAGCCATCTTTTCTCATGTACAATGTGGCAACTCGGGCTCGGATTGTGCTAATTACGCTTGGAACTCGCCCTTCATGATGAAGCCAAGCTTGGGGGGACGTCCTTGGAAACGGCATTTTGGGGGGGCGATAAGCTGATAACGAATGGTTGGGGCGCTCGCTCACCCATTACGTCGGTTCCTCTGCCGGTCCATCATCGCTGTGTGTTGCACAAGCCCAACAATTCCTCAGATTCGACGGCAAATGTACTCTCAACGAGCCAGAAATGAAGCAGGAGGCTGCGTGTTCAGAATGAGCCCTTTGTGAACAGGAACGGGAAATGGGCTCTCCAAAAGTGGCCAGCCGGGCCATTATAGCGTGACTTCACCTGCAAGATACACGTACGCACATGCACACGTCAGCCGCGGCTCAGCATCCCCCGGCCGTCTGAATTGCTATGGACACTAGAATCTTTTCATTTCCCCGACTGGGCATCCAGTTTTGTTTTTCCATTTACTTGCTGTCCTGGCAAATGAATGCTTACGTTCAGTCATATGATACCGAATGTCTTGGCCGAGCAGCCAAGGAGCGGAGGGATCAACTTCATCAAGGTATATGCATGCATGAAACCGAGCCATCGGATGCGATGATAAAATAAGATAAGCTACTTTTATAGGTGCAAAGGTGCGCTGTATAGGGTTGGTGATTAACTTGTTGCTGTGCTGCCATCACTCTTGAATGTACATAATTGATTGTTCAAGAACCGAAAGGGGGAGGCCTAGAGGGGAAACATCTCAATATACCTAAAACGACTTTCAGTCCCGGCCACCATCGCTCTGTATTGTGAAATTCTTTCTTATCTCCACGAGTCCTGCTGTATATTTGGTGACTGCGGCCCACGGGGGCATGTACCGATGAAGCTCAGTTAGGGCTGGGATTGTCGTAGGCTGGTTTGCGTCGCTGTATGCGCAGCGAACAGTCACAACCAATGAGTCTTCTGCGAGAGCATCTGTCTCGGCTCGGAGTTTGAGCTCATCTCGGTCGTCTGCTGTTGGATTTTCACGCTCGCTGGCCTCCTCCGAAAGCTCCTTGGCTTTAAGCTTCAGGTTCAGTTTCCAGGGCCGGCTCCGATCCCGTCGCCATAAATCGATTCGTTTCAAGCCACTGTCTTGTATCTTCCCTCCGAAGCGCTCCTGTAAAGGCGCTGCGCCCTCAACTGTAAATCCCGAGATGGGGATAGAACTCTCGAGGTAACAGAGACGTGAGTCGACAGCATCGACGACCACGTCAACGGATGACCCATCATAGGACTCGGGGACTGTAACCTTGAGCAGATCCGCCAATTCCACACCGCCAACTAGATTGAGAGGCAAAGAAGATGCATCATAGCGGCATACATGCGAGTTTTTGCCTCTTCCTCCCGGGCTGCAGTCGAGTTTTTGATTGGCGGTGGTTGGCAAACTTGAAACAACATTGTGAATAAACGGGTTCAGACCGTAGAGTGAAACTGTGTTGGTATCATCGTTCAAGTCGACAACCTGGTGGAAATAGAACTTGAATCGGTTGTTAACCGAGAAAGGGAAGGTCGCCAGGTTATAAATAAGAGTTGCAATGAATACCAACAATAGGAATACAGGTACATGGTGGGTGACACGGTGAATAAAGGGGGTTATAGGAAGCAGCAGGACTGTGGACACGGCCGCGATGGCCAAAATGGGGACAAGTAGACTGCCGCCATCAGTGCCAGTATTTGACAATGCCGACATTGCGAGTAAGCCGACATTGCCAATCATCAACACTGGGACGGGAGCCAGGACGATGAACTGGATAAACCAAGTCCAATTTGGCAGATGTCCTGACCAGGACTGTTCATGGCCATAAGGTTGGGGCCGAGGCTTGGGTGAAGGCTCTGACGATGGCAGGGAAACAGATTGCCTGTAAGTGCTGGCAAATGTGGTTTGGTTGTTCGACCCATAGCCTTGTTCACCAGCTCTAAGGGGCGTCGTTTCCGTAGCGTCAGCTGTCTCGTCTTCATTTTCTTGCTCCCCCGCCTCGTCATCATGCTGATGCTCTGGAGCAACAGACGCTGCCCGATTGTCCTCCTCGCCGTGATTCGGTGGTGCATGATCTCGAGCGATGTGCGCATCATGGATTTGGTTGGCAAACTCCCTCTTAGATGGAAGGACGAACAGCTCTGCCAAGGATATAAAGAGCGCCACGAAAACAGCCGTCTGTAGAAACACTGTGAAGTAGAATCCTCCCAGCTTCAGTCGATCCTCGGCTACAGCGGCAAGCACCTGAACTCCCCAGCCCAGGGCAAACAACCAAACGAGGGTAAACCCTCGCTGGAGTGCGCTTGGTCGAACAAAGCTAGAACCTCGCAGAAGCAGCCAAAAAACGAAATAGAACACCGAGAGAGACATGGCCCAGCTATCAACAGGTTAGCCACAGGATACATGAAGACGATGATTATCAAGAAGTAAGGAGAGTAAAGAAGGTGCGACATACATAGAATACGCGCTACTATAAACGATCAGTGGGTTGACCTTGGCAACCAAAAGGGCGAAAGAGAAGGTTATTCCAGTAGCAATGATGAAGGTTATCGGAAAACGGAGCAACCCCTTCCAGCCACCAATCCGCACCGGGTCCTCGTTAAGCTCCGAGTGAATTTTGATGTCACCGGCGAAGAAATAATACTTATCCTTGCGAGACAGCAAGTAAGTTAGAACAAGCAGCACGACGGGCGCCGCAACAAGAAGGGATAATGACCACGCAAAGAGCCCTCTAAGCGCAAAAGTCGCCCAAGCCCGTCCGACGAAGTCAAACCACACGCCATCCGTAGGTCTTCCGCTTTGAACTTTGTCCTGGTCACCATCGGGTCGGTCGCCATGGAATTTCGTGCTCGTGGTCTGTGAGAGTGACTCGGTGGAGGCCAACGCCGCAGAGAGCATATGCCAGACACTATCGACCGAGGTGTGACGAGTATCATCCTCATTGGTGTGATACCGTGATCTCGGCGCGTAGAAAGCAATGTCCAAACCTCGCATGCCATAAACGTCGTTGAAGATTCCGTAGTCGGTCCGGCTCTTAATGGCACCGCGTTTGAAGGCGTCCCCGGCAATAACAGAGCCGAACGGATGAGGACTTTTACCATACGCCTGACTGATCTCAAGATCGGTGGCGCGGAAAAGAATAGCGCGGCCGCCTGCTCCAGCTCCCTCGAGATTGACAAAGGTATGAGCAAATTGCGAGAGTGGACTCTGGCCAAATGCCTCCGCTCCAAGAAGGCCGTCTTCTTCGACATTGTTGAACAACAGGACGATTCCATTCCTGGGTTGATGGCCCTTGATGGTGAAGTAGCTCAGAAGCTGGAGCATACTGACACAGCCAATACCATCGTCAGTGGCACCTTTGCCGGTGGAAACTCTAGTATTCATTAGCGCATCTCTCACGAGCGTCGCGATAGCTTCTCAACATACGAGTCAAAGTGACAGTTGACGAGCACGCCGCCCTTTCTATGGGTTCTCTTGTGAGAAGACTCCGAATTCCACCAATCGCCATCAGAATCTTCGGCGCCCCGGATATAGATGTAGAAGTTGGTGCCCTCAAAGTACGATGCGCCTTCTTTCCCCAGCACCTTGGTGACGTTGGCGATCTCATCGTCAAAAAGCGTCACGAGCTCGGACTGGGGAGTTGGCGCATCGTCCAATTGATTTTCTGGTGTGGCTGGGGTCCCATCACACTTGTCAACCGAGAATGCGATCTTGTTTCTCTTGAGAATCAACTTGGACTGATCGATCAGATACTGGCGGACGTCATCATTCTGGTGGCTGTTAAAGGGGTGGTAGTGCTCCGTGATCTTTTGAAGCTGCTGCCATGCCTCCGTCAGGTTGATGCCATCGGGACCGCGATAGAAGGTCCCATCCGACGGGGCTGCCGGGACTGTCTCGTGCACATAGATGAGCGGGATGAAGAGGGCCAAGTATGTGACCGTGGTCCAAAAAGTGACCTGCAAGGGTTTGAAGGAGAAGGGGTTCTGGCACTTCATAATGCTGGCATGCCTGGAACTTGGCGTATCTAGGAAGTTGGGGACGAGGCAAGGGTGGCGGAGTACTTCCAGAAGCAAAAGAATACAGAAAGGTGATGAGGATATTCAAGGGAAGCGCGTTTTGGATGAAGCTGAAATGGCGATAGTGCTGGTGGAGGTCGCGTCATGAAACGGACCCGGAGGGGGAGCTACCTCAAAGGAATGAAGGCCAAGCAGGCGATGCTAACAACGCCTCCTCCAGGGAATGAAGGCGCGACGGGGTGTAGGAGTCGACAGAAGCAAGAGCGCAGGAGACACAGGCGAGGCCAAAGACGCAGTTAACCAGGAGGGCTGACGGCATAAGTATGGGATCCAATGGTGATAAGATCAAGCCGGGCATTGTCCAATGAGCGCTGATGCCTGCTGACTCGGGCGACCTTACCTTCAGCAAGGTGCACAGCTAGGGCTCCCTCCAGTTGTCTGGCAGCCCCCAACATCCATCGATGGACTCGCCCCCAGATGCCCCACCACAGCAACAGCATAGCTCTTGCAGGGGACCAAGGCCGCTAGTCTTCGGGCCAAGCACAGCGGAGGCGATCTGGCCACTGATGAGATGGATGCATGCATAAACCTACAAGCTCATCAATGGCGCCAGCAAAGGCACAAGCCTCGTCTCCACAAAGGGCCAATGGTGAGGAATACCTCAGCATCGTGGGCGGACATAAACTTAAGCCTCATAGCAGTGTCAAAGCCCGCCTCTAAGAATTAAGCTTTCAACCGAATCCGGCCGGAACTTCAGGTCAGCGAACACTACGATGCTCATCAGCTTCATGCCTCTTTGAGAAGAGAGGACACAGTAATACTCGTCATTCCTCACCCGTTCTCCAAACGCTTGGCCCCAGCCAGCATCATGTATCTATCACGAAGAGTCTCGGTTCCGCATGCTTAGAGACACCTCACACAGAAAGTGACACGACAGACAAAAGTTCTCCGTACGATACGTGACAACTCGCGTACCAGTGTGCTTACACAACCTTCCGCGCAATATGCCCCGTAACGGTCTTGAGGATCTCACTAGAAAGGATGGATTTTCGTAGTAGCACCGCATGTGAATCCATCATGAACAAGATGGCTCGAGTAAGCAATGCGTAGCATCACCCCTACCTCACCGTCTCTTCCGCAAGTGGTTCAAGTGCGAGCCACATCCAGACAGATACCAAAGCGATCATGGCAGTACATTGATATTATTTGCGCTGCATTCAACTAGTCGGGTTCTACACACTGAATTCTATCTTCTTGTACGTTAGTAGTGACCTTCGATCAGGAAGTCATCGCGTTGTTTAGCACTGGCACTGATCTGAGTTGCGTGAGTAATAAGTGAGGCAGAAAGGCGTCTCATACTAGACATCAACGCCCAACTACCAGAGCAACAAGGGCATCCCAGGATTAGATCAGAAAGTTTCAAGTTAAGGTACTAGCTAAAGGTAGGGCAGGATCCCCAGCCACGAGGGCAATTCTTGTTAGAAAGGAACTTCTCATCTGGCAAATGGACTGGAAGCCACCACGATCCGTTCGAGGATACAGTGGCTGTGTCAGTAGTATCCGCCTATTAACAATCTGGGGTCCGATGAGAAAGAAAACAGAAATACAAAGGCGACTGAAATGTCAGTAATTCTCCTGCCCCGGTTAATTTCCAGCCATCAGCAAACATAGCACGACGCAGGGCCACTACGTCGGTCTCTTATACTAGCAAGTTTAAGCACCAGGAGGTGGAGGTGGCGGAGGTTGGTCGCTTGGAGGGGGAGGTGGTGGATGATCACCTGGGGGAGGGGGTGGGGGGGCATCTCCTGCTGGGGGAGGTGGAGGGACAGCTCCGCCGTATTGTTGGATGAGTGAGTTCAAACCAGTCGCATCCAAACCTGGGGGAGCAGGGAGACCCGAGGCCCCAGCCGGTGGAAGACCAGGAGGAGCTCCCACACCAGGTGCAGCACTGTAGCCAGCATATCCGGGGTAGCTGCCGTATCCACCTTGCGTTCCGGGCGCTTGTTGTTGCCAAGGCGGAGCAGCTGAAGAGCCACCACCATATCCTCCTTGGTTGTAGTCCTGGCCATAGTAGTTGTTACTGTTCTGGTTATCTCGCCCACGTTCGTTGCGGTCTCTGGCCCATGGCGCCGCTGAGCCAGAGCCTGAACCTGAACCTGAACCTGAGCCATTATTGTTAGACTCGTTATTGCGCGATCTCCATGGCGCAGGGCCGCCTGTAGGTCCACGTTGCCATGGCTTGGCATCGGCGCCTCGGTCGTTGTAAGCCCCAGGGCCTGCTTCGATTTGGGCAGGCGCTGAGCCGCCGCCGAGTTCCTGCATGAGTTGCTATTACAGATGTCAGTCATTGGTCTGCAAAAATTAACAGGGGTGGCAGGGAAAAGACGAACCTCCATTTCACGGTCAACAGCATCGCCGCCACCTGGTCTCCCGTTGGGGCGGCCACCATCATTATTACGCCAGTTAGCGCCCTTCTGTCGCTCAGGGCAATCACGGGCCATGTGACCAGCGTTACCGCAGACACGACAGATGATGCTAGCTGTAAGATTCTGTCGCTCAGGACAGTCATACTTGCGGTGTCCAATCTTGCCACAGTTCTGGCAAGCTTGGTTTTCATCGTCTCGGAGGGTACCGTTCAGGGCAGCAAGTTCTCGAAGTTGGTTACGCTTGAGTTCGTTCTGTCCTTCGGGGATGGAAGCAGCCTTCAAACGCGTTAGTGAGAAACAGAGATGGTTTTGGACTTGAACACTTACCGTCTCAATCACGTTATGAATGAGCTGCTTTGCCTTGTTGATCTTTTCTTCGGTGTCGGCCATGATCAGGCAGTGGAGATCTTCCTCCTGGTTGCTGGAGTGGGCAGCGTCAGAGCGGCCTTTGCCTTCCTTGACGGAGCCCTTGCCACGAATGGCAATCTTAGCGCCAGAATCTCCTTCCATCTTCTTCAATGTGTTACCACGGGGTCCGATAAGTAAGCCAACTTCATTACAGAGAAACCTGAGTGTTAGTATCTGTTACGTCAAAATGCAGGTATTGGTCCTTCCATATACAGGACCAGCCTGATCGAAACACATGGGGAGATGGGTTTGATCAGACTCCCAAAAAGGTAGAAGGGGGGTTAGGAGGGAGTCATGGTTAGGGTTAGCAATCATACTGAAGTTAATTTCCGGGTAGTCATTGACAGGCACGTAGACCTTTTCTTGGGTCTTGGTTGGCCTGCGGTAATCCTGGGGCGGGTGATAGTTAGGAATAGTCTTCATCGCCTTCTCAATCAACTTGTGGCGCTCGTCTTCGAGTCGCTTTCGATATCGGTATTCTCGCGTGTTGATACGTCGGCCATGGTTGTCGTATTGGGGGGCTGGAGATGGAGATCTATGAACCAAAAAGTTAGTACGTGGGAAAACGCGGAGAGATCATATGCGGGGAGAGAAGGAGCATACCTGTCGCCATCAGCAGGAACAACATCATCGATGCGAAGCTTTTGGCTGATCTCCTCGATTCGGAGATGCAGGGTATACGCCTCTAGCTGTTCACTCGTCATGGACGACATGATAGCAGTCGGCAAACCCATCAAACCAGCGGCCTTATTCTCGGATGCATCTCCCCATCGATTTCGCTTCTTGCGGCGGCGGGGACCATCTGCTTCGCTTCGAGGTTCGGGGTCGCGTCCACGCTTCAGTTCGACGCTGCTCGTTTCTGGCTGTTCTTCGTCTTCACCTCCGAAACGGCGGCGGTTCCCCAAGGGGATGTTGTTCGACCCAGTGATTCCTTGGTGCCTCCAAGACATCTTGCTGATGGTATTTCTGTGTCGTGATTAGGTGGATGAAAATTACACGTCCCAAGAAACCGTGCTTTGAAAGCTAGAGAAGTTAGTGGCGTGTGGCGATTTCTCTGAAGGGTACTCGGATCGGTTTAATATTTTCCCGAATTCGAGTGCAGGGTGCGGGCAAAATCACGTGCCATTCTAAACCGCTCGCTTTATCTCCTTTCCTCGCTAATTGCATCCCTATTTCGACAATGGATTAGTAGTGTTTCTGCAACTACCCTGAACATTAACGAAGCTATAATAATCTGAGCTGTACTTATTGATATCCACCAGCAAGCGCACATATATATTCAAGATGATGCCAAGGTTTATATTAGTAGTTTAGCAGGACAACTAAAACCCGATCCCACTGCATCAAGTCGCTCAACATTGTGGCAATTAATTCGTTATTCAATTAAACAACAGGTGAATTGATGAGAAAGAAATACATTTTTGTTTGATATTTACGATTCCGAGAGTTTGATCGTCACCACGAATCGGTATCGAATACTATTTGACCCCGCGGTTCGCAGGAACATTGGCTGCTGCTTGGCTCTGTTAGGATCCTAAAACCTGCGCCTACGATGAAAAGGTAAACATGAGGAATACGGAGATAGAAGAGACATTGTTTAGGTTTCCTTGACAAAGGTATGTCCAAAACTCGAATATGCTTTCCCGAGTGAAAGTTATCTTCAACTTTGAAAAGTCTCAGGGCATGCCATTCTCTCTGTAAAGAAAGCCACCACCACCAGTCAGATGAGGGCTTATTTGGAGTATCGAGTAATCACTTATAAATCGAATTGTTCAATTGATGAATAGAAGCTTTAAATGTGTGATCCCATGCACACTCATCTTAAAAAACAAACGGTACTTTTGTACTGGCGAACTTGCTTTGCGAAAAACAAGTCGCTAAGAAAGTAAACAGCCCTGCTCTAAAGAAAAAAACACAAAAACGAAACCAAATCCCACTATACACCAGATCAGAACCTAACCAAGAAAATAATAACTCGCTGTCAAGAACAAGGAATAGCGCAAATCGAGTCCCGGTGAGGGTATTGGTCTAGGGTAACATAAAGTAGGAGAGCGACGAAAGCAAAGGTATAAGGCGAACGAAAACCGTTGCCGGAGGGGGTTGCCGAGTAGTAACTGGACCAGCCAGTTAATCATCCAGGACGAAAGCAGCAGAGCCTGCCGAGTACTTGGGGACCTTGTACGTGGTGGCTGGGTCCAAAGCGTACAGGCCGTTGTTGTACCTCCCGCCATAGGCCTTGAGCCATGGCTCAAGCATGGTTGCCGGGATGCCCCAGCCCAGGCGTTGGTTATGAAGCCAAAGTCGCACAAGGTGTCGCGAGTTGCCTGGGCCATCTTGATAAGCATCGCGTCGATGGATGACTGCCCAATTATTGAAGAACAACATATCTCCTTTCTTAAGACTCAGTGTGATTTCTGCGGATTTGGCAACTTCGGAAACGCGATCGAGGACTCGTCTCTGAGTGTCAGTGAGTTTCGGAATTTTGGTATTGGGGTCGGCCTTGGGGTGGGGCCCGAATCGATGAGGATCCATGCTGCTCATAAGCCGGCCGTCGTGGAAGGCAAGGGCTTGCCCCAGGTAGAAGCGCTCAAGTCGTCCGGAGCTATTGGGGAGAAAGAAGAAGTTAGCTCATAATGTAATCGGATAGAAGCTGTGGTTATAGGGTTGCTTACGTCTGAACTGGCCAATTAGGCGCGAGTAGAACCCTGCGCTCCTCGTCCGTGAGCTTGTTATACACTGTTGTGACATGGGTAAGGTAAGTGTTGCCCCCATGTCCCGCAGTTGACCGAGCTAAAAGAGCAAGGATATCGGCTCCCATGTCGTTGTGGAATGGCTGGAAAAAGTTAGGTTTGGGACTCAACGATGAGAGAGCGAAATAGCACATACCAAGGCTTTTGTTGAGTGAATACCATGCCGGACCGACTCAGGAACGTTCCAGAGCTTCGAGCTGGTAATATGAGCTATAGTCGATATTAGTGTCTATTGTTTAAACCAATTAGCCACGTCAAGAGGCATTCACTTACTCAACATATTTCCGGCCCCGTCTTGCGCACCTCGTTGATCTGCGACATAGCTTGCTACACCAAGGTAGATTGTAGTAGCCTCCTCAACCGTGTATTGATCGATATCCAAGCCGGAGAGAACAAAGAACGCTTGTCGAGGGTCATGCAAATCGTTTGCGAGTTTCTCGAGTTTTTGAGAAAGGGTCGGGAGAGGGAAGGATCGCTGGTTGACCTCCTCAACTTCGAGACCAAAACCTATGTTATGATTAGCCGTTAGAACACTTTCCCGTTTCTGAAATCCGATTGACTCACTTTTGAAGTATTGCAGAGCCTTTCTGATCTCTTCCTTGTCGTCCTCGGTAAATTGCAAGACCCACTCGTCCTTGCCATAGTTGCGTGGCAGCGGGAGGCTGAGGGGGATGTCGTCAGTCATAGTTGCTGTATTGGCTTAGCTTCTTTTGGTTTATGCCGCCTTGTGGGTTCCAGTTCACGTTAAGATCTCGCGCCGGTAGTCAATTAGCTCGATGTTATTGTTGCTGAGCATGTTTACCCAAGTCTAGAAGGATATGGCGAGTTCATCTTCATTTATACGAATCGGAAGTGAGTAATAGTCAATTCATCGTTGAGCTTTAGCAGCCCCTAAATGAACGCCCTCCTGGCGTTCCATAAAGGAAAGCAACATTTCCACGCCAACCTTTAGTCTGAGGCTTGTGTTTCCACCAAACACCGGGTGGGTGTTTATGAGCCAACGTGACATATGTGTGTGTTGTTGGTAGATTGAGTTGGTCCTAAATTAGAGCCCTGGACCCCATTTGCGCCCTACGAAGGACCCAACGGGAAATTCGAAGTCAGATGACCGGATGGACATGTCCCAAATATTCCGGGGCCGTCAAGGCATCATTTCCTCGGGCAGGTCCGTATTTTATTCTTGTGTTCTTCACCAAGGCCTTGGATAATTCTTTCGGGCTCGTTGAGACGTCAGTCGGTGGCCTGCCGACAGTTTAGAAAACAAGTTGGTGGATTGAATCATGTATGACGTCGCTTGGTCCTATAAAAGAAAGGAGGCTGACTAGACTTACATGCAGCCTCATCAGTCCTGATGCTCGATTACACCGTGCCCAGCATCAGGCTTCTATCTCTGAGTAGTTTGATTGGCTTGGCTACACGGGAAACCGGTTCAAATGAAGAAAGATGACTCGTGAGATTGAGGTTGAATGCATTGCAGAACCTTTGCGTAGGGATGGATGTGTGGGGGCTTAGAGCAGGTTGTAACTCTGTTGGTTGTGAATCATGGACCAGGAAAGTACTAACTCGCTGGATTCTTCTCCTTTGGTCTAATAAACTGACCCTTTCCCCCTCTTGGTGTAGGGGCGACAAGTGTGCCTAAGGGATCAGGGATAAGCAATTCACTAGGCAGTGCTAGTAATAAGCTACTCGGCGGGAGACTAGGTACTAGCATCGATTGTTCTATTGTTCCGTTTGGATACCTAAATCGATTTCGACATCCCCACCCTGATCCTGAGGCTCGTCACGCCATGTTGGTGATTCAAATCGGCAGACCATGGTTTCCCCGTGACGATGATGACCCAACACGCCGCCGATCTATCTGCATCAACTCTTCTCTCCCCTCTTCTTTTCATCTCTTCTTCCTTTCGCTTTTGGCGTCCCCTCTCCTTGCATTGACTCACACCGGCCGTGAAGGCGTCCATATGAAGTCACACGACGCTATTGCCGACAGACGATGGCCTAGAAGGGAAGACTACCCTTTCCCGAACAAACAACGCCTTCGGGGACGCTCCATTGTTGATGACCACTATATATGAACGCAAAGTGCTGCGTGGATACGCGTAATATTGCCATCTTTCTTGTAGCCTTACAGCAGCTCTGCATGGCAAGGCAGACAGACTTGCATACCTAGGTAGGGACTCACACCGAGGCTACCTAGATAAATACAATGCACTAGCGCACCTAAGTTGAGGGAGCTGGCTGGGCAATCTGGCGTTCCTTTTTTTTGGGTGTGGGGGAGGCACTGGTCAGCGGCTAGAGAGCCAACCACGCGCGCGCAATGATCGTTGTTTTAGGCAAAAATGGAGGGCAAGAGGACGGAATGGGGGCGCTCTGGGCTTGAAGAGGACAGCCTCATGGGATTGGACGTGATTCCTGTTTCTGAATGGGTCATCTTCTAGTGGGTTCGAGCAACAGCTACAGCCACGATTTAAGGGCTGAGCAACCAACTTCCATGACTAGTACAGAGCATCGCATGGTCCACCACCGACGTCCGTCGAGGAGGCCGCTGACGGGCATGCCGTCAATAAATGGACGAGAAGGTTATTCTTGAACAGGGCAAGGCTGTGTTCACCTCCATCACCCTGCGAATATGCACTTGCGTTTTAGTGTATGCGTTGGTCGGCCGCAGACATATCCATCGGTCAGATCTTGCACGGCAAGCTGGGTGGTGTGTGTGGAGAGTGTGATATGGCGGACGACTGCGTGCACAAAGTGGGCGAGGCAATTGACTGGACATTGCTATTCGTACAAACTTATGCCTCATCCACAGCTGCAGCGGAGTCCTGGACAGGCCTGTGTAATCTGCACGGGGTCCACTGTAATAATTTACTGCAGGCGGGGGAAGCCACGCACGCTGGGTGTGATCTCCTCCGCTGTTTCCCAGGTACAGTCAATACATCCTTGGATTGCTGCTAGCGTGGTTTGGTATTTGCGGGAGGAGCCTCCACTGCCTCTGGGTACCGCCAGTGATGCTCAGGGAGAGTTGGCTGTCGGCACATGCCTTGAATTGTTACGCAGCCAGCAGGCGAAAGACACAGGATGGAGAATAGGAAGGTGGCCGGACGCTACGTATATCTACCTACGCATCCTCTCGGCTCAACAGCAAATTCTAGATACAGAGTTGCAGACGGGTCTACGGATTCTAGTCCGGGCCGGGATTAGTGAGCCCAAGTGAA